CCCACGGGAGACCATCGAGCTGTGGTCCTCCTGCTTCCTAGAGCGGAGACCAAAGCGGGCTGGCGAGACGTCGCTGGCATTGAGCGCTGAGCTTAGCCGGCCTTGGAGAGCAATTGTTCCCGGTGCGGGTCCTTGCGGGGTGAGTGGTGACGGGGCTGCGGGCGGAGGAGGCGCCGCGGCCGAGGGGGCTGGGGAACAGGTGACTCCGGGCGGCAGCCGAGGAGCCCGGGCGCTGGTGGCCTGGCGAACGTTAGGGTAGGTGGGGGTGGGGCAGGCCGGGTGGAGTGGGGGAGGGGGCCAGGAAAGGGGCTGGTGACGCCGTGGTTCTAGGGAGCCGAGTACAACTTGCTGTTGCTTATTTCTTGCCGTGGAACACAATTTGAAGTAGGTCTTCAGAGTAGGCCGCCCTGAGAATGATCCCTGAGCGTAAACGAAGGCAGCGGAAGCACTTTGGGGAGCACGAGCTCCCTCGGCCGAGGAGCAGCAAGTACAAAAGCCCTAAAGCCGGGGCTTACTTGGCATTTTCTAGGTTCAAAAAAAAGCCAAGACCAGAGGGTTGCAGCCAAGTGAGCAGTAGATGATAACGGAGAGATTTGAGGAGGGCGTTGAATAAGGAGGGGACATTGTATTGTGCAAGGACTGGCTTTGTCCTGGAAGAAAAAAAAAAGAATCGTTGAAGGGTTTCTCTAGCAGGGAATTGATGAGACTAGATTGGCGATAAGGAGCGAGAATAAACAAAAAGTCACGGCCATTGAGTCGATTCCGACGTACAGCGGCCCTATAGGACAGGGGGGAACTGCCCTTGGAGGTTTCCGAGGCTGTACATTTTTATGGGAACAGAAAGCTTCGTCCTTACCCACTATCCACCGGAGCTCCTTGAGAGCAAGAATAGAATCAAGGAAAATTTGGAGACAGTTGCAAGTTCAATGGGGAGATAAGATGTCTTGGTAGAAGTGAATATGGTAGAAGTGAATTCAAGTATTCAGATTATTGATCTGCTTTGCTGTTGGATCAAATGTGGTGTTTGAGAATATGAGGAAGCAAAGATGAGTGCAAGGTTTTTAGTCTTTGGATGGAAGATATTGTTGGAAAGATTGAGGTTCTGCTTTGGAACCTTGTGTGTGTTATGTTTAAAGTAAGTTCTTTAACATTCCATATCTGCTCTCTTCGGTGAGGTTAGTAAATAGTATTGTCTCCATAAGGAATGTGAAGATTAAATGAATTAGCATGAAAGAGCTTCAAAAAGCGTTTTTATTATTTTAATGTCGTTTTTCCATGAGCTTTTAACGTTTCCTTTGTTATGTAAAGCACACAAAACAGTTGTTCTTGCTTACTGCTTTCAGTAGTATTGAGAAATGAAATAAGAGTGGACATTAATGGGAAGAAAACTGAAAGATTGAAGAGGGTTTCAGGCAGTTGTAGTAAGAGGTGTGAAGACCCAGGAACAAGTAAGTACTGGACATGTGAGGAACTGAGAGTGTTTCATCATATCACAAGAAAAGTTTAATGATTTAAACATGATCCTAGGGGTAATGGTGAGCCAGGAAATGTGATACACACAGCAGAGGCATAATCGTATTTCTGCCTTAGAAGGAACACTGCAGTGTGGGAAATAGATTAGGGTGTTAGAAAGACCAGCCCAGTTCAATCTGTGTAGTATAATGTAGTGGGAAAGGTGAGAGATACTTAGGCTATTGAATTAATAGAACTTGATTGCTCAATGCGTGCAGTGGTGGGATTCAAATAATTTCACAACTGGTTCACTGCCCTAATAACCATTTGAAGTATAAAAAAAAAATCTACCAAAAGGTAGTTTATTATTTCATACAGTGAATAATTAAATAAGGACAATAAAAAGGTACACAGAATAGATTGTCATAAGAAAGTTTAAAAATATTAATGAAAAATATATGATACCTGACAAAAACAATAAAACTGTTATTTTACTTCCATATTGCTGCTTAATTGGCATCCTCTTGCAATGTTCTTTGCATCATGGGCTGTGCGGTTTATCCTTAACTATCTTTTCACTGTAGGAGTAGGGTCCCATTCCTTTAGAGGTAGACCGGTTAGACAATAGTTATTGTGTTTGATATATTAGAAACAGGTGGCTTTTCTGCTCCGAACATACCATGTTCCTCTTTGAACAACCCTTTTCCGCTTCTGCTGAACTTAACAGCAATTGTTCTGATGATATTTTTAGCTCTTAAAACATTTTCAGGAATTGCACATTTCACTTATAATAGCCTATGGGAATTTGGTGCATAACACAAAGCTGAACTAAATGACAGCATGTCACCCTCTGATTGTTTGGCACTTTTCCTCTTTACATTCTATGAAGTAACATGTAAGGGAATAAAAACGTAGTAACTCATCAAAATTATAGTGAGTTTTATGAAATGAATAGACAAATATTACAAGCATAGTTCTTTCTAACTTTTTATACTTATGGACGGAATGAATATTACTGCTAAGGCTTAGACTACACTGTTGTGCAGAGGAATGTTAAATGGGAGGAATGATTTCCACCTTGGAGGGCAGCTGCCCAGCCACCCTCCTTAGAGACAACCCTGATTACAAATGCCATTTGGATAACTGGTTCACCAAACTCAACAAAAAGTTAAATACTGGTTCTGCCAAACCACTGTGAACCAGCTGAATCCCACCACCAGTGCACATGGAATGAAAAGGCAGAAGGAAGCTGCTTTTTGGCTCAAATAAATGAGTTGGTGAAGCTCTGCCCCAAAGCACTTTATCAGATTGCCTATTACATATTACTGCATTTGATATCCTTAATCGCACCATCTTTAGTCACACCATAGACATGAGCCACCACTAATCAAGAGGTGACATTTATTTTGTGGCTAATAATCATCTCTAGGTCTTTCCGTGATGCAAACTGCTTCCACGGCTAATCTAAAGTTTGTTGGTTCAAGCCCACCCAACTATACTGGGGAAGAAAAGGCCTAGTGATTGAGTTCTGTTCAGTTGTCACCTGTGGAACAGTTGTAACACATGGAGTCAACATGAATCGAATCAAGGGTAACCAACAGCAGTAATCACCAATTTCTTGGACATTTTAATGTCTGTTAAGAACAGTGGGACTTTGCATACTAATTTAAAGTCCATTTTTGACATAGAAAACTTTTATCTTCTGGGGGGTACTGTTGTATACACATCCAATAATATTAGCAGCAGGATGTATTTGGAGCCCAGCCAGGCACAACCATTAATTGAGTGACACCCTCCCTTCCCCCGAAACACACATACTGATAAACCCCCCCTCACCTTGGTTGAAAGGTATCTATCAGTAGTTTGCAGGATGCTCAGTATCACTCGAGCATAGTTAAAAGCAAGAATGCTCGATCCCTGGTCACATAACCAAGGTCCTGCTCCAAGGAATGCTGGTGTGTCTTTTTCATTCGGTGCTGCTATAACAGAAATAGCCCAAGTGGGTGGTTTAATAAGCAGAAATGTAGTCTCTTTTAGGCAGCGTGCAGTGCAAATTCAGGGTGCCGAGTCTCGAGGAAGGCTTTCTCTCTGCTAGCTCTAGAGAAGGGATCTGTCTCCTTTCATCTGTGGGCCCAGTACCCTGTGGACAGCCCCGTGTGTGTTTTCATCAGTCTTCCCCTGGGTCTGAGAACTTCTCAGGCACCTCAAGTCCAAAGGACTCATCCTCTCTCAGTTCTCTCTTAGAGGTAGGTAATGAGGTGTCCTCTTGCTCCACTCCCTTTCTCTTTTTATCCCTTGGGAGACAGAAGGTGTGACTCAAGGAAGGGTGTGGCTGGAGTAAAGCAGACTTGAGAAAAGGCATGACTGAGTAAGTGGTGTAACTCAAGATCCACCCGCTCTAATCCTCTCTTAGCTGCACTACGCAAACAATGGAGGATAATTAGATGACAAAATGGCAGATAATTGCTACTAGGAATCATAATTAAGCTGACACATATTATTTGAGGGATACAATTCAGTCCATAACGTGGAAGTTCTATTTTCTAAGCTCATTTCTGACATGTTGAATTTGAGATGATTCTATAGGGCAGGGGTCCTCAAAACTACGGCCCGTGGACCACATGCGGCCCGCCGGGTGTTTTTGCCCCGTTTGGTTTCTTACTTCAAAATGAGATATGTGCAGTGTGCATAGGAATTTATTCATAGTTTTTTTTAAAACTATAGTCTGGCCCTCCGGTGGTCTGAGGGACAGTGAACTGGTCCCTGTTAAAAAAGTTTGAGGACCCCTGCTATAGGGTATCGAGTAGTAGGTAGTCCGTAGGAAATACAGATCTGGCACTCTTGAGAGCTCTGGACTGAGGAATAAGGCAATCATCAGCTTAAAGATAGTAGTAAGTCTCACCATCCCTGTCCTCTATAATGCCCTTTTAAAATGTCCACTCATCTGCTTCCATGGTAGTGTCTTAGTTCTTGAAACTCTGTATGCACCGGATTATCGATTATTGTAGTTCTTTATCCCTATATTGAAATTGTTTCACCGAGGTCACCAGTGGCCTGACTGTTTTTGTATCAAGAGGATATGATATGTCAGGTCTTAGAGGAAGTTGCCTTCCCTATCACGTTTCACACATTTGAGAACTGCTTTCAAATTCTTCTACATATAAATCACTTCATTCCTATTCTTTACAATTAGCACATTTATCTCAAAACCTCTTTGGGAGTTAAGTTTTTATCATCATTTTACAAATGAAGTAAACTCCATGAGGGTATGTAACGTGCTGCAAGTCACATCCAGGCTCTTTTCACCACCCCTAAAACGAAAACAAAACAAAACCCTACTGCTATCAAGTCAGTTCTGGCTCCTAGTGGCTATTTAGGACAGGGAAGATCTATGATTTATAACACATAATAGGGTAATTAGGTCACAACATGGAGGATGATTAATACTGCTAGGAATCGTGAACTCAATCAAGTTGACACATAGTATTTGAAGGATACCATTCCATTGACACATAGTACTTGAAGGATACAATTCCGTTCTTACCATGGGAGTTCTGTTATCTGCGTTCATTTCTGACATATTGAATTTGTGGTGTCTCCATGGGGAAACTTCTGTGAATTTCCGCGGCTGAGAATCATGACAGGAGCAGAGAGCTCATCTTTCTCTCTCTGAGAGTCTGGTGGGTTCTGACCTTGAGGCACAAACAACCGCATCCTTATCCTTCTGGCTGGTTTTTGTTCTCTCCCTCTCTGGCTGGTCTTCCTCACCTCTCTTTCTGACATGAGGTGTTGCCTAGGGCCCCAGCCTCGCATAGGCTTCCCCCGCCATACCTCATTACTACACTTCCAGTAGCTCTATACTCGAATTATTTTCCCCATCTGGAGAACTCTCCCCATGCCTTTGCCTGATTAACTTAGACTTGTAACATTCAGAAAGGCTCACATGAAGGAGTTGAGAATTAGGTACTTTTTGCCCTTTTAGCAGTCTGTACCTATACCTTCATCATGGTACGCCATATGATAAATTGCAATTGCTTATTCACATAAGGTTTTTTGAGAAGCAAAGAGCTACGAGAGCAGTGGTTCTCAACCTTCCTTATGCCGCGACCCTGTAATACAGTTCCTCATGTTGTGGTGACTGCCAACCATAAAATTATTTTCGTTGCTACTTCATAACTGTAATTTTGCTGCTGTTATCAATCAGGTGACCCCTGTGAAAGGGTCATTTGGCTCCCCAAAGGGGTTGCGACCCACAGGTTGAGAACCGCTGTGCTACAGGCTAGGAAGTTGCCTCTCATCTTTGTATCCCCAACTTCTAAGCATGACTGGCACATTTAGACCTTCAGCAAATGAGATGAGTTATTTGTGTTATCTCAGGGAATTCCAGTGATTGGATTTAATTAGTATATATAGTAATAATGTCTGAGTCTTTTTTATCCCAACTTTTTTTCTGTTCTTTATTATTTTTAACTTTTAATAGTTTTATTGACAAAATTCACATGCCATACAATTCAGTTGTTTAAACATTAAAAAAGATTTGTGCAGTCATCACTACAATTAGTTTCAGAACATTTTCTTCTTGTGTTCATTAGTATCACCTTCCCATTTACTTCCAACCTTCCCTGCTATAACTTCAAGAAAATATTAATATAATTGCTGTCTCTATAAATTTAGCTCTTCTGAATTTCATATAAAGAAAAACATACTTAAAAAAACCAAAACAACGCCCCCCCCAACAACCATAATTGAGAAAATCTCAATCCAAAAGAAAGCAGACCATAATAAAAACTAGAACACATTTAAAATGGGTCAAAAGAGAACAAATGATAGGGTGTTAAATTTTACCCTAGCTACATCTGCATTAATCCACTTTCCAATGTACTCTGTCGGCTAGCAAGGCTATTCACGTCTCTGGTCAATGGTCAGAGGGGCCTCTGGAGCCTTCATCCACATTGGGATGCTGCAAATGGATTTTAGGCTTTCACTATCCTCCATGGCCTTCTGCTTTCCCTTAACATTTTGAGAATTTTCTTATAATAGCAATTGTGAGCTTCCTGGTCCATTTGTACGTATACTATATGCACACTCTTTTTTCCTGAAATACTTGACAGTTAGTTGTAGCATGCATTTTCTGTGTGTCTAAGAATATTTTCAGTCAGGAATGAGAAGAGGATATTGGATGTATGGCTAATTGCCTCCATGAGCAACTGCTTCCTAGGCTATGAGATTGGAAGAACTGAATAGTGCCTGGTTCAGGAGAAGAATCCTGATCAAAAGGGGGAAATTGCAGAACACAATCTCAGATTTTCATGGAATCCAGACCTCCTTAATTCATGAGGGTTAGGTGAGCCCGTGAAGTTATTGTACTGTGATAATCTTTAAAACTTGAACCAAAAGTATCCCTTGAAGTCTTATTAAAATCAAACAGTAGTTTAACTTAAATAGATCTGCCTTGGCCGTTACGTGTTTTAAAGCATTATCCATATGGGATCAAAGTGACAGCAGCAACTCGAAAGGTCAGAACCTGAGAGTAGTTTGTGCTGACAGAGAAGAGCTTAGAAAAGAAGGATGAGAATGATTGCCCAGCTCTCTGAATTGTACATGTAGAAACAATGGAATTTTTACATGTTTTGTTGTGTGTGCGCTCAACAAAATTTCAAAAGAATATTCCCTTACATAAGCATAAGAGCATTATCTTATCTTGGGAGATTTTGTATCAGGGATCAGTAAACCTTTTGTTTTAAGGGCCACGGTCAATTTTCTGGCTTTGTGGATCATAACTAACTTTTCTGGATCTGTCTGTGTTACATAACATACTTAAACAGTTGGTATGATGAAAAAGCTTACATATACAATAAGTTTTTAAAAAACTTATTGAGTGTAGCCATCTTCCATTGAAGCTTTCTGCAAAAAAAAACTAGCTTTCCATGGCTGGATTTGGCCTTCTGGGGTGTCTTTTGTCCACCACAGCCTGCCTTAGTTTTCCCTAATTATTCAAATAACCCCCCCCCCCTTTGTTTTAGTTTTTAAGTCTAAGAGCCACATTTCACACATTACATTTAATTATGTCTGTTTAATCTGGAACCAAACCTTCCTCATGGCCCTGTTTTTATTTTAGTGAAATTCTTTGTTTGGAAAAGTCCGTGCTTATTGTAGAATGAGCTGCCTTTTGTATTTATCCCAGTTTCTTCTTTATTGGTTTCATGTTAAACATCCTTTGTAAACATGCTACATGGTTGACGAGACAAGTGATGCCCGGTTGTCTTATCACTGAGGTTGCTAAATTTGATTGTATGATGGAGTTTATGACTACCGCATCTCTGTTTCCCCATTTGTAATTAGTAAACACTCAGTGTGGTGAGATTTTGAGACTGTGAGGATGTTCTGTACCCGCATTCACTTGACTCTAAAGTTTTAAAAACAAACAAACAAACAAACAAACAAAAGTTTAAAAAATATTTGACTAAATTATTTCAAGAGCTAGAAAATGTTGATTTTTATAAACCTATTTTTCTACATTTGTTAGCACCTGTTAGCAGATGAAGGGAAAAGAAGAGCTTTCTTATTTTGTATGGCTGTTCTTTTTTTAGTAAGGGTTTTGAAGAGAAAAATAAAGGGTACTAGTTATTGGAAATGTATTAAAGCCAACCAGGGGTATTGCTATGATCAGGATGATTGGTACCATTTCTTTTTCTGATTAGCATTGTTATACTTTTAGGAGTATCCCTGAGGAGATATTCCAAACAACACTTTGCAAAACAGATCACCTGAAGGTTAGGATGGCGACAGTATTAGTAAGTGCTCATTCCCCAGCTCCCCTGAATCTGAAGAAAGAAGGGCTTCCGGCAGTCAAGGAAGACCACTCCTCCACTTGGGAGCAGAGATTCAAATTGCAAAGAAACAGCACAGGTCTTGGACAGGAGCAGTTGCGCAAACGATTCAGACAGTTGTGCTACGAAGAGACCACAGGACCCCTAGAAGCACTGAACCAGCTCCGGGAGCTCTGCCATCAGTGGCTGCGGCCGGACATCCACACCAAGGAGGAGATCCTGGAGCTGCTGGTGCTGGAGCAGTTCCTGACCATCCTGCCCGAGGAGCTGCAGGCCCATGTGTGGGAGCACTACCCAGAGAGCGGGGAGGACGTGGTGGCTGTGCTGGAGGATCTAGAGCCAGAGCTTGAAGAAATGGAACAAGAGGTAGGAAGGATCAGAGGTGCATTCTTGCAGAAAAGCAGGAATTGAGAGCTCTGACAGAGAGGTGGGCATGGAAGAAGAATGGCTTAGCTTTGGTTCTGTTTCTATTTATTTCTGCTGATTTCACCTCTGCCTTACTTGTTCCCTGCTGGGAGGAAACAGAAAAAGCTCCAGATTCCCTATCCCTGGTCTTTGTCCCTCTGTGCTTTCTTTTTGTTTTCTTTTATACCGTGGAAGTGTTTTTTCCAAACAGTGGTTCCCTCTCTCCTAAGGCTACCTGTGTCTCATGTTCCCTAGGACTCAGACCAGGCAGAGAAACAAAAAGGGCTCATGGAGGAGATGGAGCCCTTTAAAACAGGGCAGGAGCAGCGGGTCCAGCCCAGGGGTGAAGTTTTGAAGCCTGACAGTGAGAAGGGTAAGATGTTGATTGCATCTTCTGGTGATTGCAAGGTGGTGGGCTGTCTATGTCCTTTTGAGGCCTTTCTCAGCACGCTTAGTGTTTGTTTCTCTGTAGTTTGTGTTGCTTGAGGTATACAGTAAAATTCTTACACACACACAAGCACGCACGCATGCACACATGTACTTTTTCAGTGTACAGATCAATAACTGGGTTTTCCAAAATGTGAAATAATTAATCACATACGCACCAAGCTGCTAACCTCAGCATCTGTGGTTTAAACATTTAAAGTCTCGGAAACCCTGTCCTGTAGGGCTGCTGTGAGTTGGAATTGACTTGATGACAGTGAGTTAAATCCCAAACATTTCTCTTCAACCCTCCCTGGTGTTTTTATGCATCTGGAGCTGCAGTCCTCTCCTCTCCAGGCCTGCCTTCCCCTTGATCTTCTCCCCTGCCTGTAGAGGGGACACAAAGCAGTGGGTTTTCCTCATCTGAGGCAGAGGCTCAGGCACTGGCTTCGATATTCTCCCTTTTTCTTTGTGTTCACGTTATGTGGCTTCTGTCTCATTTTTTTGCTCTATGAAGTTTCCTTTGCATTGAGATTTTCCACTTTCCAATTGTCCCTGGAGTTTTTCTATTCTCTCTTCAGTCTGATCCTGGCCCTGCTTCACTTGCCTGTTCAGTGTCATCCCAGTACTTCCATTGGGGTTGTTGCTGCCTCTTCATTCTGGGTCATTTCAACACAAATTCACTGATGTTACCTTCCTGTGTAAAGTCTCTCAGTGAGCTGGATAGTTTTAGTCACTCGCTTTTAAGGGAATGTTTGAAAAGTTCTATGATAAAAAGTGAAATAAAGAAATAAGAGGAGACAACAAAACACAAACACACACCTTCCAGCGACTCTCCATTACCGTTCAGAAAAGTCTCACATATCTTGGTCTGGTATCTGCTGTTTTGTCAGCCTTCATGTTCACTAGGTTAGCCTACTTGAGACTTTTAGTGCTGAATATCCCATATCACAGGAAACTCCTCAGTCCCCATGCAAGGCGGGGGGTGGGGCGGGGATGGGTGGGGGGCAGAGTTCTGTGTGCCCTACTTCTCATGCCATAGCATGTCATTATGCCGAGCTGTATTCCATTTCCCATTTGCTGTTGCTCCCTCCCGCCTTGTTTCTTCTGTCGGGAACACTTGATGTTCACTTTCCCTGACTAATGCCTGTTTACCCCTGAACATTTATCATAGATAGCATTTCCTCTGTCCTTCCTGAAGTCCCCCAAGTCTGGGGTAGTTTTCTAGCTATGTTCCTAGAGTGCTATGATTTTTCCTATCAGCGCTGACCATAACGTTCATAGTATTATTTTATTGACCAAAACCCCAAGGGATCTTCTTAGATTTATTTCTTTTTCTGACCACATTTTTTTTTTTTTTAATAGCTGCTGGTTTGCAGACTGAAAGGGTAGGAACTTATGTTGTTTCCCGAATCTTCCGTAGTGCTTACCCTAGAATGGACAACAAATATTTGATGGATCATTTTATATCTAAAGCCATCCCTTAAACATGTCTGCTTCAATGGTCACCTTCCAGACTGAGAAAAGTAGCTGAAAGAAAAGGACCTTCATTTTCTTAACAGTCTTCCAGAGTTGATTTATGCCATGCAATCAATGGTTAATGTATACTTTAAATTCAAAAGGTCAATGTAATGACAGTACATTCGTGACAGGATTGCTTACTCGCTAGATCTGTTGAAACCCAGATGGGTTAATTCGTTTTCTAAGATCAGGCAACCAGTCACTGATAAAATTGGCACTGCGTCTGCATATCTTCATTGTTAAAGTGTTAGCTGTATATCATCTCTTTTCCATTGGCCTTAGAACCCTTCATTGACCTACCTTATCTACTTTCCATGTGACAAACCATTTTCAAGAATCTATGGTCATAGCCTTTAAGATGCTTTCTTTAAAATACTTTATTGACTAGCTTCTGTGTATGTGCATGCTCTATATAGTCCATGATAAAACTTAAACCATTCAAAATAACTGCCTCCCACTACCATCCCCCATTCCTTTCCCAAAGACTCATTCACCCACTGCCATCCAGTGGATGCTGATTTGTAGTGACCCTGTGGGTTTCCGAGACTAACTGTTCACAGGAGCAGAAGGCCCCATCTTTTTTCCAAGGAGTCGAGCCGCTGACTTTGTGGATCACAACGCACTTTGTAACCACTTCACCACCAGGGCTCCTTTCCCCCCAAATTCCACTGTTAATAATTTCTTGTTTATCATGCCATATGTGTGATGTATGTAGACATACATAAATGTCACTTTGCATGAATGCTTGATTTAAACGTGTCACTCCTATTTACAAATCTCTTCTCCCAAGTGTCAAAAACAAGTGATTGGTGGTATATATTTAATATTTCAGATGAGGAGACTGAGAATGAGAAGCGGGTCACTGAGACAGACTCTTGCAGAGGAGCGCAGTCATCTGTGGACAGATCTGAACCTGCGGAGACTCATTATGAGGACTCTGACTGGGAAAGTCAGCAGGCGAAGCCCCAGGAGAAGATTGACTATATATGCTCAGAATGTGGGGAGGGATTTGCTCAGTACTCAGACCTGATTAAACATGAGGGTGTGCACTTGGGAGAAAAGCTCTGTGAGTCCGCAGTGTGTCAGGGTTCTAGTCCTACTGAACAGCAGAAAATCCAGTCTAAAGAAAAAGGTCATCAGTGTCTTGAGTGTGGGAAAGCCTTCCAGAGGAGCTCCCACCTTATCAGACATCAGAAAACCCACCTTGGTCAGAAGCCATATCAGTGTAGTGAGTGTGGGAAAGTCTTCAGTCAGAATGCTGGCCTTTTTGAACATCTCAGAATCCATACTGGAGAGAAGCCTTATCTGTGTATCCATTGTGGAAAGAATTTTAGGCGCAGCTCTCACCTTAATCGCCATCAGAGAGTTCACAGTCAGCAGGAGTCCTGTGAGTGCAAGGAGTGTGGAAAAACTTTTAGTCAGGCCCTGCTCCTTACCCATCATCAGAGAATCCACAGTCACTCAAAAAGTCATCAGTGTAACGAATGTGGGAGAGTCTTCAGTTTGACCTCAGACCTGATTCGACATCATAGGATTCACACTGGAGAAAAACCGTTCAAGTGTAATGTATGCCAGAAATCCTTCCGATTAAACTCACACCTTGCTCAACATGTGAGAATCCACAATGAAGAAAGACCCTATGAGTGTCATAAGTGTGGAGAAGCCTTCAGGCAGAGGGCAGGTCTTTTTCAGCATCAGAGGTGCCACCACAAAGATAAGCTGGCTTGATCAGCTATCACCTCCTAAGGAAGATCAGAGGCAGATATGATGACAACCAGACCTCACTTTGAGAAATGCCTCTGGCCAGCTCTGGCATCAGAATTCTTAGGGGCCAAGTTGGAGGCTGCCTGCCTTCCATTTCCCCTCATTTTAATTTCCTCACATTCGTTTTTCTTGAAATTAGCTTTGGACCACAATAGTTTGACCATAGTATGATAGGTACTGGGGAGTTAGCTACCCAGAATTCTTTACTGCAGGACTTCTCAGAGCCTTTTACATGATAAATGAGTATTATGAATCTTCAAGTAAGGGAGCACCCAGGACCTACCAAGAGTTTTAAAGTCAGCAGTGAATGAAAGTATCCGCAGATTTACAGGCTTAAGCAAAATGGGCAGATTGGTATTTTTGCAAATGCTATAGCAGCAGACTTGTATATAATAGAACTTTCTGTAAAACAACACTGTCAAAATTGACTTCAAGAACAGGCTCATCATCGAGAACATCTTCTACTGTTAATACCCCTTACCCCCCTCCCCTGCCTTCCCAATCCCTAGTGATTGAAAGCATTTAACAAAGTAAAGTTTTATTTTGCTGGTTAACTATAGAACTTGCCCTAAGGATTACTTTCATGTAATTTTACCATTTCCAGGACCCATTCCTCTCCACAAATCAAGGTTTTGCTTACACTATGGAAGAGATTCCACAGGTCATGTAAATGAGCCGTGCCAAGGTAATCAACCTATCTTACTAGATAACCCAGTTCCAGTAGACCGGCTGGCATGATTCAATAAATGTCTGGTAGAATAAATTGGGCTTTCCCCCCCTTAATATTATTAAGCTGAAATTTTAAAACGTTAATTGTTCTGAAATGCTTTGAATGCAAACAACAGAGACAACTTGAAATCATGACCTTTATATTGTGAGTACCAAAATATCATAGTAATAATGTTGAATACTACAATTAGAAGACTCCGCTCTCAAACATCACCAGGATGATAAATATAATTTATTGATTAGTAGTTGCTGTACAGAGTACTGCTGCCCAGAGAAGACTTCTCATGGGTGTGGACAGATAGGTAAACCCAAGATAATGGTTAGAACTAGGCTTCGCTGCATGTGATAATGAAAAAATAGTAGTGACTTAATAAAGTAAAAGTGTATTTTTGTCTCAAGAAAAGGCCACATGTGCACAATCTAGTCTGGCCAGGGGGCTCCATGGCATTGTGAGAGACCTGTGCGCCTGTCCTATCCCCCTCCACCGTCCCTGTGCACCGGCCACCCCCGGGGGTCTCAGTGACTGCTGAAGCTCCAGCTGCCACATACCGAAGTGGACCAAGAGAAATTCCTCTTAGTTGAGGAGCTGCCCCATAAATCATCTTAGCATGTATATCATTGGTCACAACTTAGGAAAAGGCTAGAAAACCATATCTAATTCTGGTCACAGAGTGTCCAGCTAAAAATAGGATTTCTGTAATTAAGGACAAAAGGGAAAATGGACATTGGAATAGGCATTTAGTAGTTTTGATCCTATTGCATATCCCTCCCTGCTAAATGATATAAGCAGAAGCAGCAGTTAATACTATTTTCTGGAAAGTGATGAAATCTCTAAGAGAAACAACAGCCTTTTGAAAGACTACAGTTCATGGTAAGTCAGTCATATTTCATTGTTTAGGAAGCTGTAGAACCATTGCATCATTTATATATTCTGCCTTTATGAGTAAAACTAAGTTGATGTCAGGAGTTTGAAGACTGTGCTGGGGTCAGTATGTAAACATTTAGCTCCATGTCATGGTTTAACTCCACTTAATACTGTTCAATTTAAGAAGGAAAGTATATACAATTTAAGAAGGAAAGTAGAATATCTTTAAAAAGCAATGGACAAAAAAAATCATTTGATTTGTTTTTCAACTCTCTTTCTTAAAAAAAAACCTTAAATAAAATTGAAATAGAAGGCAAATTCTTCAGCATGATTCTGGACATAAATGAAAAGCCCACAGCCAACATTATGTTTAATGGAGAAAGACAGCACTTTCTTTTGAAATCAGGAACAAGACAAGGGTGCCCACTCGCACCACTTCTGTTCAAAATTGTATTAGAAGTCCCAGACAGAACAGAAAGACAAAAGCTTTCCAGGTTGGGAAAGAAGTAAAATTATATCTATTCATGGATTATATGACTTTGTCTATAGATAATGTCGAAGAGTCCACAAGAAAACATCTAGAGCTAGTAGAGGGATTCAGCAAAGTTTCAGGGTACAAAGCCAACAAACAAAAATCAGATTTTTATACACCGCCACGAGAAATCTAAATTACAGAAACAGTTCCATTTGTAATAGCATCTAAGAGAATAAGATGCCTGTGAATAAATTAACCAGGGATATGAAAGACTTAAGCAATAAACTAAAACACTGATGAGTGAAATTAAAGGAGACTTAATTGGAAAAACCCTGTATGTACATGGATTGAAAGACTAAATATTTTTAGGTTGGCAGTGCTACCCAAATCTGCAATCTGATCAAAATTCTAACAACCTTTACAGAAATCCTCAACTTTATATGGCAAGCAATCCCAAGTGGCTGAAACAATTTTGAAAGAAGAAAAATTCATAACTCATACTTCCTGATTATAAAGCATACTACAGAGTCAAAATTATCAAAACAGTCTGGCGCTGAATTAGAAATAAGCACATAGACCAATGGGTTAGAATTGCAAGTCTAGAAATAAACCTGCACATCTATCAAATGGTTCTTTGTTTTTCTTTTTCAGTGCTTTAAATATATTAAAAGTTGTGCAGTCATCACAAATCAGTTTTCATCACCTGATTCTTGAGCAGCATACTGCATCCATTCAGTAAGAGAAATGAGTATTTTTGACCAGTGATCCACGGACAATTTCGGTTTCCACATACAGAATCCATGCCTCACAACATAGACAAAAAAAGTTCAAAATGAATTACCTAAAACCATAAAATTCTTAGGAAAAAAGCAGGCACAGCTGTCAGACCGAGTTTATGACAATGGATTATCTAATAAAAACAAACAGAAAAAGGCCAAATAAATGGGACCTCATAAATTCAAAACTTTTGTTCCCAAAAAAACAACTTATAGAAAAGGCAAGCTGTTGACTGGGAAATTATCTTTGGAAACCTATCTAACAACAATCTAATAACAAAAAAAGTTAAACTTTGATGATGACAAAAAAGATTACTTAAAAAAAGAAAGGGCAAGCTATTGACTGGGAATTATATTTGGAAACCTATCTAACAACAATCTAATAACAAAAAAGTTAACAAACTTTGATGATGACAAAAAGATAAGTACCCCAAATCATTAAATGGGCAGAGAATTTAAATGGATGTTTCATTAAAGAGACCGTTCAAGAGGCTATCAAACACATGATCAGAGTCATTACTCATCAGAGATGATCAACTACCATGAGACCATTTTACATCCACTAGGGTGACTCAGCAGTGAGTGCCCTGGTGTGGCAGTGGATCTGCTAGCCACAAGGTCAATGGTTCAAACCCATCAGTATCTTCAAGAGAGAGGTCTGTCTGCCCCTGTTAAGATTTATATATCCTTAGCTATCTGGAAAATTTTTCTTGGCCTCTCCATGATTTTATAGTATAATACCCCCACTCCTCATTTAACATGGTTTGGTTCCAAAGAACAAGTCCTTTTCCCAAAATTAGCATTATGTGAAAATAGAGGATGATCATACTTTTTTAACTCAGACTATATCACTATAGAACTGCTAATTTTTTACCATTGCATAAATACCACTTCTCAGAGAATCATGGCTGAGCCAAATTGACACATAATAACCATCACAGCTAGTTTTTTTCCCCCTGTGGTCATAAATTTGAAATGTTGGATAATGAGACAGTCAATTGAGGAGTAGGTATATAAATTTATATAAATTTAATAACGTAGATATATATGCTACATGGGCATGGGAAGACATGGGCGTACATATACATATATTTATGGGCATATGCATATACATATTTGTGCTGCATATATATTCACATACGTATCACATAGGGGACACAGTTATAGATACTTTTGAGACATATCCAAACACCTCATGAATTGCTTTACTTGCTGGATTTGACACTCAGGGCCATAGTCTTGTGGCGACAACTAGGTGAAAAGGAAATACTTTTAGATTGGCAATTTGTGTCTAGGGTCTTCAAACCTTTGAGTGACTGGATCAAAGATGAGTGAAGGGAACCAAAGAAAAGAAGCAATTAATCCACAGGACAGGTGGTGTGCACAAACCATAGCTTCTAGCCTGAGACCAGAGGAACTAGATGGTGCCAACCACTCTGACCAGGGACATAATACAAGGTCCCAGTTACAATAGAAGGAAAAAAACCACACGTTTCTTTGAAAAAAGAACAGTCTTAACTGGACAGGTAGGAGACTAGAGGAACTTCCAAGACTATGCCCCTAAGATATTCTCTTACCTACTCCCAAGGTCACCTTTCAGCTAAATAATAGATTGACCTATAATGTAAACAGCACCAGTAAGGGATGTGCTCCTTTAAAAATTCATCTGAGACCAAATCGTTCACCTTTATCCCAAAGCAATGAGAAGGCAAGGAGGAGCGGGGAAACTGGATGCATGGAAACGGCAGGTGGTGTGGAAATGTTGGGAGGGCTGACAATTTCAGGGACTGTACCTAATATCACATGACAATTTGTGTATGAATTGTTGAATGGGAATTTACTGTGTAAAGTTTTCACGTAAAGTACAATAAAATATGTCTTTTAAAATTCAGTCACATCTTTAAAAATCTAATTCTTACAGTTCTATAGGGAGAGAGTGGTTTTCTCATCAGTACCTCGGGGCAGATCCATATTCATTTGCGTGGAAATAATTTGTGTATGTACATATGTATACATACCTGTATATATAGAATTAAACTTAATTGTGATCAATTGGTATTGATAATTTTCTTTTTTTATGTTTTATTGGCACTAAATTTATATATCATACAATTGAAAACTAGTGGTTCAGTCATATCCAGGAGAATTGTGCAATCGGTACTGTATAAGTTTTACACACACACCTCCCATGGTTAAATCCCCTTTAAAATGAGTTGTGCAATCACAGATCTAGTGCTCCTTCCCCCGTCCTGCCTTCATTTTTCCCCCCCTGAAATCACTTTTTCCTCACTGTCACCCCACCCCCACCCCTATCAACCCTTGTATCAGTTATTATCACTATGGACCCACTCCTGTGCATCACAAACTGGGAAACCCAACAGAAACAAAACAAAACAAAACTGGAATAAGGTGATTAAGGATAAAATAATAATATGAAGACAAAAATACAAATAACGAGTAAAAAAAGACCAAGTAATTTTGTTTTCTGTTCAGTTTTTAAGATAATTGCATTTTTTCCATATTAAATCTTCATAAATTAACCTATTTTCTTTTTATAGACATTATGGGAGAAACAAAGAATAAAGCAAATCACCCAGCCTTGTGGCCCAGATAGACTTTTTCAATTCAGGCATACCTCAGAGAAATGCAATAGGCACTAAAGGAAGGCACAAACTGGTTGGTTGCCGAGCACACATATGAAGGTTATCTTTACGCTATGTAGTAGTCTGTAAGTGTATGTAACATTATGAAAAAGTTGAAAATATTGTGAGAATTACCCCAAAGTGACACACAAGCATGAAAAGAGCACAAGCTGTGGGAAAAACGGGGTCAATATCCTTGCTGGATGCAGGGTTGGCACACAAACCTTCAACTTGTACAAATGTATCGCTAGGTAAAAATATCTGTACAGTGCAGTAAAGTGAAGCACAATGCAGTGTTCTGGAATTCCCATTCTTCTCAATGTTATCCATAGTTTGTGATCCACCCAGTTGAATGCCTTTGCATAGTCAATGAAACACAAATAAACATCTTTCTGGTATTCTCTGCATTCACCAAGATGTCAGACAGCATCAACAACGAGGCCAACAGGTAGTGTTTTAGAAAGATAACAGGATATCGTTAACTCTGGTGAGTGAAATGCTTATTTTTCCACCATACTGTCTCCATGAATACAGAAACTCAATATCTTACAATTAAATTTTTTCTGACAGGAAGCTGCTAGGAATTCAAGCCAGATTCAGGAAAGGATATAGCATGAGGGATTTCATTGCTGATGTCAGATGGCTCTTGGCTGAATGAGAATACCAGAGAGATGTTTACTTAGGTTGTATTGACTGTGCATAGGCATTCAACTATTGTATGGATCAGAGCAAACTGTGGGTGACACTGTGAAGAGTGGAGATTCCAGGATACTTCATTGTGCTTTTGTGGAACTTGTACATAGAACAAAAGATAGTCATTCTAACACACTGAGACTGCTTTGTGGCTAAAATCAGGAAACGTGCCTCAGGGTTGTATCCTTTCACTGTATTTACTCAATCTATGCTAAGCAAATAATCTGAGAATCTATGCTATTTGAATGTTAGGCATCAGGACTGGAGGAAGACTCAAACTGTGATATGCATATGACACACAACCTTGCTGAGAGCCAGGAGGACTTGAAGCACTTGATGAAAAATCAAAGCCTGCAGCCTTCAGTATGGATTGCAACTTAATGTAAAGAAAGGAAGCCAGAACCCTCACAGCTGAAACAATAGATGACATCATGATAAAAAGACAAGATTGAAGATGTCAAGGATTTCATCTTGCTTGATTCACAACCAGTGCCATCAAGAAAGAAAGCAACATATTGCACTGGAGACACGCCGCACAAGACATCTTAAAAAAAAAAAAAAGACCACTTTAAAGTGGTAAAGAGCAAAGATGTCATTTTGAGAACTGAGGGATACTTGACCCAAACTATGGTGTTTTCAATTATATGCATAAAAAAACCTGGACAATGAATCAAGAGGACCACATAAGAATTGATGTGCTTGAATTACGGTGATGGCCAAGGATATTGAGCATGGACTTCCAGAAAACCAAACTCACTGTCATTGAGTTGATGCTGATTCATAGGGACCCTACGGGACAGGGTAGAACTGCCCCCTGTGAGTATTGGAAATTAATACATATATCATTCCATAGTTCAGTCATGTCACGCAGAATTGCTACCACAAAGACTGTAGCTCGTTACCAGTTAGAAAGCCCTGTCTTTCTCCCTTGGAGCAGCTGGTGCCCATAAACTGTAGACCTTGCGGATCACAGCCCAGTGCTGAACCACTGCACCACCAGGGCTCCTGGGCAGCCAGGAAAAAAAAAATGTCCTGGAAGAATTACAGCCAGAATGCTCCTTAGGATGTTATTAGGAGACACCAGTCTCAGGAAAAAGCAGCAGATCAGGAAGAGAAGGAAGACCCTCGGGGAGATGGATCGACAGAAGCTGCAATGATGGGCCCAGACAGATTGTGGGGATGACTGGTCCTGCTGTATGTAGGGCTGCTCGCTGTAAGTCTGATCTCAATCAATGGCACCTAACAAGTGTCTCCATGCTGCCTGGGCTATAATCTGTATGTTTAACATTTTTAAAATTAAATTTTACTGCTTGCTGGATTTTATTTTCTGGCCCCTATGGTGTAGTGGTTAAGCATTAGGTTGCAATCTGCAAGGTCAGCAGTTTGAAACCACCAGCTGCTCCCTGGGAAAAAGATGGGGCTTTCTACTCGAGTAAAAAGTCTCAACAAATAACAAAATTCAAATTTGATCAAGGGAAAGGTATCAGCGTAAATTGGGAACACCCAATATATACAAGTCTATGGAGGACAACTGGAGCCTGAGGTAGGTAGGTTATTGTGCCAACCTGGCTGATAAACATGGGGTTATTTGAAGGGCAGGGGGATAAATGGCACAGTGGGCCTCACCTTTCTAGTTCTCTGTCTCTAGCTTTCTGATGGTCAGACCAGGGTGCAGCTGCCTTAGCCAGTTCCCTGCTTTAGCTGGCAAGGCTCACTTTCTGCAAGACATCCCTGAGGAGAGGGGCACATGGACCTACCCCGATGCAGCCCTGGGTGCTGGAGCATCATTGTGTGTGTTTGTGAGATGGAGGAGGACATTGTGGATTGGTGTCGGACATGGGTTAATGGGTTAATGTTGGATTTGTGGCTTGGGCGGCACTGGGTTGGGATGTTTTCTTGATGCACACTTACCCTTTATATAAAACTCTCTCTTATACATGAGTTTCTGTGGATTTGTTTCTCTAAAGTACCCTGACTTAACACAGAGCCAAAAATCCATCTGCAGGATACCAATTCAGATCAAGCCTCCGGCCAGTAGAGGGATTTCGGGAACAGCCGGACTGGCAGAGATTATTGTAAACTTGATTATGGTGGATGCAACAACAGAATAATATGATACCTAGTCAGTTGACCACCTTGACTCATCCTGAATATGTTCTAGGTTTAAATATTTCTCCTTTTTTTTCACGGCAGAAAATTTCTCCCTGGCTTAATTTAATATTGCCAGTGGTCAATTTTCCCTCTTCAAAAGACTGTTTCTGTTATGTTTCCCAGTTTATGAAGCACAGAAAGAGTGGATGCATAGACAGAGACAGTAACTGCTGGGGATAGGGGAGGAAATAATACAGGAGGAAGGAAGGTGCACCAGAACTGATTGTGATGATGTATATACAAGTCTTTAAAAAAGTTATAACCACGTAAGTATATGGAATTTGATTGTCAATAAAACTATTTTGGGGAGAAACAAATTAATCTCGGAAACTCCTAGGGGTCGTCCTACTCAATCCTGCAGGGTCGCTATGAGTCATCCACTCACTGCTGGTCAGCCCCGGGCGGAGACTGGGTTTTATCTTTACCATCGAGGTTTAAAACCGAGGTTTTGATGGAATTTGTATCAGGAGGGGCGCCGCCGCCGGAGCCAACACGGAGGAGGGCGCGAGTTCAGACCGGGGAGGGCCCGGGTGGGGCAGGAAGTGGCAGCGCCGGTCGAGCGGCTTCCGCAGCCGGGCTCGGTCACGCGCACTGCATCCCCGGACACGGGCGCCCCGAGGAGTGAGCAAGGGGGCTGCAGCGCGACCCGGCGCCCCCGAGGCAGGGGAAGCTGCGCGGCGGAACGGCTCCACCGCGGGGCGGGGGGTGGGGCGTCGGCCGGGGCGCCCGGGGGCTGCTGGGAGAGGCGTGCGGGCCCTGGAGCCAAGACTGCTGTGAGCTCGCGTGGGACCCCCAGCTGCGCAGGCGCTGCGCCAGGGCTGGCTCCCGGGAGGCCCACCGGCGGCCCGATGTCCTTTACCATGTCGGCCACATCTTTGTTGTGCATGTTCGCAGGACCTCTGATCCTTGCACCAACATTTACACAAGCATCCACTTGATGTCTGTGCACTGTTTGCCGAGCGCTGCGCTCGGTCTGGGAGTGTAACGCAGGGAGAAATCGCCCAGACCCTCCAGAGTGTCCCCGCCACTGGCTTCTCACGCGCATCTGCCTTTTCCATCAAGCAGTTCACCTCCTTTTGTGGAATACCAGGTACGTGCAGGGACCACGGAGAGAGAATGCCTGCTCTCTTGGAGCTCAGTGCTAGGGGCCTGGCAGTAGACTAAAGGGGCGGTGAACCTGAAATATAAGAGGGAATGAAAGGTATGTTACCATTGGGGACATACCCTGTTTCCCCGAAAGTAAGACATCCCCCCCCCCAAAAGACCTACTTGCAGTTTTGCCTCTCGCTGAAATATAAGGCATCCCCCCGAAACTAAGGCCCCCCCCCAAAGCTACCAGAACTCTGGACTCTGGACCATAGGAGTGGGCCCCACAGCACAGCTCACTGTTGGCCACAGCACAGCTGGAGCAGACACGTAGTGCGAGGTCTCTTTTAATAAAACAATAAACAATAAATGTGTACTGTATTCTTCACGGAAAAATATGACATCCCCTGAAAATAAAGACCTAGCGCATCTTTGGGGCCAAAAATTAATACAAGACACTGTCTTATTTTCAGAGAAACAGCGTAGTAAAGGGCCACTTTACTATGGGGACCCTTAATCATCATTGTGACTTAGGGGATAGGGTAGTAGGGCTGGGATGGCCAGGGAAACTTATAGAGAAGGTAGCATTTTGCACCGAATCTTGGGAATTTTACCTTATCAAAATTGGTGGCCATAGACTGCAAGGCGGATGGGGAAAACTTTGAGTAGTTAGCAGAGCGGTGGCCCGAAGGGTTTGCAAGGACCTTGTTTTCCTTGTATTCTGTTTATTATTATTATTCCAGGGTTAGTCTCCCGGAAAATAGTAAGGTGTTCAGTAAATGTTTGTGGAGTGACAAACCAGCCAAACTAGTGAAGACTAGGTCCTGCCTGGGGTGCCTAAAATTACACTCTAGAATTTAAATTTAGCTCAGTGAGGCGCTAAGTTCCACCCCACCAAGCCTTTTTTTTTTTTTTTTAACGCATGTTGAATATAGCCGGGTTTAGGAGATAGGAATTTAGGGATTTACAGTGAAGGTCTCTGACATCTGAAGGCAGTAGTGCTAGCAAATGAATTAAAATGGAGAAATCCAGAGTGAGTGCAGTTTTGAGAAGGCTCTACTTTGAGGGTGTGTTGAAACTGAAGTGCTGAAGAGGCCTGCAAGCTGGAGGTGTTCAGCTAGCAGTTCAAGATGTGGGTCTGGAGTACGAAAGGTGAGTTAGAACTAGATACATACCTGAGTGTTCTTGAGACGGAGATGGACCGAAATTATGATCGATGAGATTACCAAAAGGGAAAGTAGGGAGCAAGAACAGAAGAATCGAATGTTTCTGTTCTGCCTTTTTGTCTAACAGCATAGAAATGTAATAAAAACCCAAGACTGGGGGGCTTAAACATCAGTGTATCAACTCTGTTGATTCTGTGGGGTCCTTGAGCAGCCTCATTGCTGTGAGATTTACTTACATGCCGGCATTTAGTTTGTGGATCAGCTGGGACTAGCCTCCCCTGGGCATTGGTGCTCATCCACCTGACCACGCTGCCTGAGTAGCTTGAGCTTCCTCCCAGCATGGCAGATTCACGGCAGGATGCTAGGGGTTACACAAGGCCACTTCCTCTTATATATCGCTTTTGTCATGTATATATTTTGGTGAGAGCAAGGCATAACCCAGCACAAATATAAAGGAAGGTCAAGTAGACTCCACCTTTTGATGTAAACAATGGCAAAATCTCATTTCAAAAAGTACTTTGGAGTAAGAGTTACTCATTCAGTAATTCCTGGAAATGGTTTACCTTCCAAGTGGAATATTCAGTGAGAGATAGAGGCACAGTTAGAGGACTTGGAGAGGGGAGAAATCTGTCTAGGCAGACAGCCCTTTAACTTCTCCATGGGTAAAACAGGTAGCTTCCTTGCCTAGCTAAAATGTATTCTGCTTAAGCACTCTTATAAATGTAATGATTCCTACCTCATAATCTACATCCTTCAGCTCTTGGTTGGATACCCGTAGAATTCAAAATTTATGCTTCTGATTAATTCCACCAGTCATTTAGGCAAACAGGCTCAGCTTTTAAGCATGACCTATTGTGAGGACAAAAATATTAGTATGTTGTTGAGTTTTGAAACTTATGATATTCTTGTGTCACAGATAGTCATTTGGAAAAAAGCTTTCTGAGCCCTAAGCCACAGTCCCATGAGCCCTGTTTCAGCAGCTAAGCTTATCATGTGTGAAGATTCAGGTCCTGCTCCTGAAGATGGAGAAAGCTTTGAGAAGGTGAAGGAGGAAGACCCCACATGGGAGCAAGAGAGCCGCTCCCACACTCTGGAGCTTTGCCGCCTACGATTCCGGCGGTTCGGCTACCATGAGGCCTCAGGACCTCGCGAGGCTTTCATCCAGCTCCGAGAACTTTGCCATCAATGGCTTAGGCCAGGGACACACACCAAAGAGCAGATGCTGGAGCTGCTGGTGCTAGAGCAGTTCCTGACTATCCTGCCCAAGGATCTTCAGGCCTGCCTGCCGGTGCAACATCTGGAGAGTGGAGAGAAGGTGGTGACAGCGCTGGAGAATCTTGGGACAGAACATGGACACTCAGGACAACAGGTGGGAAGAAAATGTGGTGGTGATGGTATGAGAGAAGTAATGGAGAAATGTTTATGTTAGGAGTGCATAACTATTTATTTTTAAACAATTTAACGTATGGAAACATTGGAAGAATAATTTCTGCCCACACTGGTTTCATTATTCCTCGACATTTGAACAGACAAATAGGGAGGAAAACGAGTGCCCAGGGACAATCTCTGCATTTTCGCCTCCCCCAACGTTGTCTAGTAGTGGAGCTCAGGGATGATTTTGTTGATCAGTCTTTCCTAGTGCACCCTTGGACATAGGCCTAAGGGCAAGTCCTCCTGCTGTCTGTCTTGCTGTGCCTCTGCTCGGGCATGCCCTTTCCGCCCCCCTCTCTCCTTCTCTAAGGAGCTCTAGCGAAGCCATAGAGTCCCTACACCTGGGAAGCAACTCAATGGCAATGAGTGAGTGAATGGTGAATGGGTTAGGCATAGATTGGGCTGCTGACCACACACAGGTGGTTCAAGCCTACTATTTGTTCCTTGGGAGAAAGCAGAGAGCCTGTGCTTTCTGTTCTCATGAGGATTTCCAGTCTCAGAAGCCCTATGGGACGGTTCTGCTCTGTGTCGTATAGGGTTACTATAGCTCAGAATCAATTTGACCACAGTGGGAAATACCTGGGTGT